AGAGAAAGGCTGCCAAAGACGGCGAAGGATCCAGCGATGAGGATGAGGATGATGACGACAAGATGGCTCGCAGAACCTCCTACGTCAAGAAATGCATCCGACAAGCGCAAGCAGATGGAAGACTGAAGGGTCTTATGGCTGGTGCGAAGAACCCCTTGGCTGCGGAGCAGCGCCGGTTCCTCGTGAGAGAGTTCATGAAAGCCATCGGCACTCCAGGCAAGTGTGCCAGCTGCAGTGGGTACGTTATCACTCCCATATTTTCCACACGTCCTTCTTTCTAGTCAGCTCTCGGTTGACCAAAATCGCTCTGCAGTATCTCGCCGTCCTATCGGAAAGATAAGTTCTCGAAGGTTTTCCGCAAGGCTCTACCTGAGAAGTCCAAACACGCTATGCTGCAGGCTGGATTCCAAGCGCCCAACTCTTTGATCCTCCTTCAGGAAGCTCAGAAGTTCAATAGCAAGGATAAGGAGGCACAGGCGGACGGAGCCTCGGACACCGCATCTCAGGTTCATGGAGCCGAGGAGGAAGTTGCCCGTGGAAATGCTGTTGTCACTGAGCTCGAGAACAAGAAACAGACCGCCGGTGAAGGCCAGCAATACATGCCTTCTCCCGAAGTTCATGCCGCATTGACCTTGCTTTTTGAGAAGGAAGCGGAAATCCTGACTCTCGTGTACAATTCTCGACCGTTACCGAAGAAGGAATCCCGAGTTAGCGCAGACATGTTCTTCATCAAGAACATCTTGGTGCCGCCCAACAGATATCGTCCCGCCGCACAGCAAGGAGCTGGCGCTATTTTGGAGGCCCAGCAAAACACCATCTTTACGAGTATTCTGAAGAACTGCGACATCATCAACCAGATCAGCAAGGAAAGACAAAGCAGCAGCTCCAGTGCTGCTATGCGTGTTCGCGATTACCGTGACCTGCTTCACTCCATTGTTCAGCTCCAGGATACTGTGAACGGTCTTATCGACCGTGACCGAAATGCCTCCGCTGGACCAGCTGCCGCCGCCGGCCCCAACGGTATCAAGCAGATTTTGGAAAAGAAGGAGGGTCTCTTCCGGAAAAACATGATGGGAAAGCGTGTCAACTTTGCCGCTCGCAGTGTCATCTCCCCCGACCCGAACATTGAGACCAATGAAATTGGTGTCCCCATGGTTTTCGCTAAGAAGTTGACTTACCCCGAGCCTGTGACCAACCACAACTTCTGGGAAATGAAACAAGCGGTCATCAACGGTCCCGACAAATACCCGGGTGCTTCTGCCATTGAGAATGAATTGGGACAGGTCACCAACCTCAAGTTCAAGAGCTTGGACGAGCGTACCGCTCTGGCTAACCAACTGCTTGCGCCGTCGAACTGGCGCATGAAGGGGTCTCGCAACAAGAAAGTCTACCGTCATCTTACCACTGGTGATGTTGTGTTGATGAACCGTCAGCCTACCCTCCACAAGCCGTCTATCATGGGTCACAAGGCCCGTGTTCTCCCCAACGAGAGAACCATTCGCATGCACTACGCTAACTGTAATACCTACAATGCGGATTTCGATGGTGACGAGATGAACATGCACTTCCCTCAGAACGAACTCGCCCGATCGGAGGCCATGATGCTTGCGGATGCGGACCATCAGTACCTTGTCGCAACGTCCGGCAAGCCTCTGCGTGGTTTGATTCAGGATCACATCTCCATGAGCACCTGGTTCACCTGCCGAGACAGTTTTTTCGATGAGGAGGACTATCACGAGCTCTTGTACAGCTGTCTTAGACCCGAGAACTCTCACACCATTACCGACCGGATTCAACTCATCGGCCCGGCGGTCATTCGACCCAAGCCTCTCTGGACCGGCAAACAAGTTATCACCACTATTCTCAAGAACATCATGCCCCCGGGTAGAGCCGGTCTCAACTTGAAGAGCAAGTCCTCGACGCCCGGTGACCGCTGGGGTGAGGGCAATGAAGAAGGCACAGTCATTTTCAAGGATGGAGAGCTGCTTTGCGGTATTCTCGACAAGAAGCAAATCGGTCCCACTGCTGGCGGTTTGGTTGATGCCATTCACGAAATTTACGGACACACCATTGCGGGTCGCTTGATCAGTATCTTGGGTCGTCTTCTGACCAGGTTCCTCAACATGCGCGCTTTCACTTGTGGAATCGATGATCTTCGCTTGACTAAGGAAGGTGACCGCGTACGCAGAGAAAAGATCAGCGAGGCTGCCGCCATGGGTCGTGAGGTCGCGCTCAAGTATGTCACTCTCGACGAGACTACAGGCGCCGACCAGGACGCCGAGCTGACCCGGCGTCTGGAGGAAGTTCTTCGCGACGATGAGAAGCAGAGTGGTCTCGATAGCGTTTCCAACGCCCGTAACGCGAAGCTGTCTACTGAGATCACTCAAGCCTGTCTTCCTAATGGTCTTGTTAAGCCATTCCCCTGGAACCAGATGCAGTCGATGACAATCTCCGGAGCCAAGGGATCTAGTGTCAACGCCAACCTGATTTCCTGCAACCTTGGACAGCAGGTTTTGGAAGGTCGCCGTGTACCTGTCATGGTGAGCGGTAAGACGCTGCCCTCTTTCCGGGCGTATGACACGAATCCCATGGCTGGTGGTTACGTGTGTGGCCGTTTCTTGACTGGTATCAAGCCCCAGGAATATTACTTCCACGCCATGGCTGGTCGTGAGGGTCTGATTGATACTGCCGTCAAGACTTCCAGATCCGGTTATCTGCAGCGTTGTTTGATCAAGGGAATGGAGGGATTGAGAGCGGAGTATGACACTTCGGTCCGTGAGGCTTCCGATGGATCCATTGTCCAGTTTTTGTACGGTGAGGATGGATTGGATATCACGAAGCAGGTTCACCTCAAGAACTTCGACTTCTTGGCATCCAATTACCTCTCCATCATGTCGCAGGTCAATCTGACCAGCGACTTCCACGGTCTGGAGAAGGAAGAGGTCGCCAACTGGCATAAGGATGCTATTAAGAAGGTTCGCAAGACGGGCAAGGTCGATGCTATGGATCCTGTCCTTTCTCTCTATCACCCTGGAGGTAATCTGGGCAGTATTTCCGAAGCGTTCTCGCAAGCACTCAAGAAGGTAAGCGTCCATTGAGAATCAATCAGCTGTCCAGCATAACTGACACATTTATAATAATAGTACGAGGATGCCAACCCCGATGGACTGCTCAGGGATAAGAAGAAGAGCATCGAGGGTGTTATCACCAAGAAGTCATTCAACACTCTGATGAACATGAAGTACATGAAGTCGGTTGTGGACCCTGGTGAGGCCGTTGGTATTGTGGCCGGTCAATCTATTGGTGAACCTTCCACTCAGATGACTCTGAACACCTTCCACTTGGCTGGTCACTCCGCGAAGAACGTCACGCTGGGTATTCCCCGTCTTCGTGAAATTGTCATGACAGCTAGTGCCCACATCATGACCCCTACCATGACCCTTTATCTGAACGAAGAGCTCTCTAGGGAGCACTCTGAAAGATTCGCCAAGGCCATCAGCAAGCTCAGCATTGCAGAGGTTGTTGACAAGGTCCAGATCAAGGAGAGAGTTTCTTCCGGCAGCATGAAGGCCAAGATCTACGACATCGAGATCGCGTTCTTCCCTCCTGATGAGTACACCGCCGAGTATGCTATCACGACCAAGGATGTGCAAAATGCTCTGCAGAACAAGTTCATCCCGAGACTCGTGAAGCTTACCAAGGCCGAGCTCAAGAAGCGTAATGACGAGAAGACATTGAAGAAGTTCTCGACCGCTCAGCCTGAGATTGGTGTCTCCGTTGGTACGGTCCAGGATGCCCCCAGCGGTCGGGATGCCGAAGAAGAGCCCATGGATGACGATGTCGAAGACGATGAGGACGACGCCAAGCGGTCCCGGGGCAACCAGAACCGCAACAACCAGGTCTCCTACGAAGGCCCGGAGGATGAAGAGGAGAGCATGGTGCGCCAGCAAGATGCCATGGACGAGGACGAGGATGACGAGGGTGACAACACGCGCCAGAAGCGTGATGTCGAGATGGATGACGCCTCCGACTCCGACTCCGAGGAGCAAGGCAAGGACGCCAAGCTGCGTGAGGAGGACATCAAGAACAAGTACGGCGAGGTCACTCAATTCAAGTTCAACCCCAAGAAGGGCGGATCCTGCACTATCCAGCTGCAGTACGATATTGACACCCCCAAGCTTCTGCTCTTGCCTCTGGTCGAAGACGCTGCCCGCACTGCGGTCATCCAATCCATCCCTGGCCTGGGCAACTGCACGTTCGTCGCGGCGGATCCTGTCAAGGGCGAGCCCGCCTATGTCATCACGGAAGGTGTCAACCTGCTCGCCATGCGCGACTACCAGGACATCATCAAGCCCCACTCCCTCTACACCAACTCGATTCACCACATGCTCACCCTCTATGGCGTGGAGGCCGCGCGTGCCGCCATCGTCAAGGAAATGTCCGACGTCTTCGAGGGTCACAGCATCTCCGTCGACAACCGCCATCTGAACCTGATCGGTGACGTGATGACCCAGTCCGGTGGCTTCCGTCCCTTCAACCGCAACGGTCTGGTGAAGGACAGCTCCTCGCCCCTGGCCAAGATGAGTTTCGAGACGACCGTCGGCTACCTCAAGGAGGCGGTGGTCGAGAGAGACTTCGACAACCTCAAGAGTCCCAGTGCCCGCATCGTTGTCGGCCGTACCGGCATCGTGGGTACAGGTGCGTTCGATGTCCTTGCCCCCGTGGCATAGACCAACACCTCCTCGCCCCTCGCCCCTCGCACTGTGTATGCATTTCTTCTCGTTGTATATGCTTGCCTGTCTGATTTTGCATGTAACTCTACGCACTTCCTTTCTGTCTTCCCATTTCGTCGTGTCTATGACGTGTTCAACGATTTCTGTGGAGTTGTCTTTCAGCGGAATAAGAAAAAGTCCTTCTTATTAGTTCCTTAAGATATAGCATTCAATAAAGAGTATGAACCTTTTTTGACCTGAACAATAAACAAGAAGACTCGGCAAGTACGTTGAGATTTTTTCTTTCGAGTAAGTAGCTGCGCTGTAATGTACTGTACATATTATCGACCCTTTCCAACACCGAACCATCCGTGGTATCATGCAATCTATGCAAGCATTTTTTCCCCTTGACCGTGATAAAAAACAAAATGGGTAAAACAAGTCAAGGTTGTAAAGGTGGGCGGGAAAAAGGAAACCCATGGACGCGCCTGCAGGTCACTGAGCATCCAACATCATTAGATCTTCATCAATGTCATCGTCGAACTCATCGTCCGGCGGGGCCGCGGCACCGCCGCCACCGCCGCCGCCACCATAATAAGCACCAGCACCATTGGGGGCCCGTGCATTGGCGAGCTCTTCTTCCCGCCGCAACCTCTCTTCCTCGAGCTTCTGCTTCTCGCGATGCTTCTCCAAGTCCGCCAGGCTCCACGTGGAGATGCCCTCCTGGTCGCGCGCCTTGAACGGCTGGGCCATGGTGCGCAGGAAGTTCTTGGCGGTAGCCACGGCCATGTCGGTGCTGAGGTTGGTCTCGCTCTCGAGCATGGCCTGGCTGATCCACTTGGGGAGCTGGTTGCGCTTCTTCTGGAAGCGCCGGTCCGCCAAGACCATGACCCCGTAGTCGTCCTTGCCGCGGAGCACGCGGCCCAGGCACTGGGCGGCGTGCCGCATGGCGTCGAAGGAGAGGAAGTCATTCTCGCGGATGCGGTAGTTCTCGCGGAGGAACTCGAGGCGGGCCTTCAGAATGCGGGATTCGGTGTACTGGAAGGGCACGCCGATGTTGATCACCGCGCGGCCGTAGTGGTGGTCGAAATCGATGCCCTCGGAGACCTTGCCGCGCGCGACGCAGAAGAGGAGCGCCCCGCGGCCGTTGCAGCACGCTGTGCGGTAGGTTTCCAGCGCCAGCGAGGACTCCTGCGCGTCCGGGGTCTCGACGAGGATCAGCTTGTAGTTCCAGATGGAATCCAGGATGCCCATGCCCTGCCACATGCTGATGATGGATTCCATGTAGAGGTAGGACGGGAAGAAGACGACGATCCCGTCGGGGGTGATGCGGGAGAACTCCAGGACCATGTTGCCGTAGTTGCGCACGACGCCGGGGTCGTTACGGATCTGGAACGAAGAGGAAATCTGGGCTTGGTCGGATCCGCGCGTGACGATCATGGGCAGGAAGGATCGGCGGGCAAGGGTCATGCTGTATGATTCTTGGAGGACGGTTTCGAAGCCTAGCATCTTAGGGTACATTTCAAGGGGTGACAGGGTACCCGATGTGATGATGACGGAGCTGAATCGGTCGAAGACAGGTTTGATCGCTATCGCGGCATCTAAACAGGTAAAATGCAGCACCGGGTTGGGTACTGTAGCTGCCTCCGACTCGAATGGCTCTAAGATCAACAAAAAGCCCTTTTCGTATGTGGCAACTAAGGTTGCAAAGGTTGCAACCTCTTGCAGCGGTTGGTAGTCCTCTATGTTGATGAGTTCGAGTGTGCGCACGAGTGACGTCAAACGCTCAGCGCAGAATCGTAATGGCTTTCGCTCGATGTATGTGAGATCCTTGACGTGCGTCAAGAATGATAATGGTGTTTCGGAGATAGTGTGTGTGACCTTCATTCGGGTCTTCAGGTATTCAATGAACCGTTTGAGGAAGGTGACGAAGTGTTCGGCGCGACGGATATTCCCTGGTACAGCTTCCTTGAGCAAGTCATCTGGAAGGACTGGATTTGAGATGAATTGATCCTCCTCTCTAGCTTGCTCGGCCTCTCGAAGGCCTTCAACCAGCTTGGTATATTCGTTTTGGAGCTTCTCAGCATCCGAGCTCTTCATCTCGCTGATTTTGCGTTCGAGGTTGTTCGCACCGCGTGTGGCCTTCCGCAACGAATCCTCAGTCAAGTCGATACTCAGAGATTCAATACAGACGTTGTCGATGTTATGCGCTTCGTCGAAGACAACTATACAGTCCTTGGATAGCTCTTTCGACACTCTTTCGGCGATCTTCGGATCGAGGAGGTAGTGGTAGGAATAGATAATGACGTTACAGAAAGGCATCTATGGGGGAGGCGGGCAACATTAGCATAGAATCCACCCTACCAGATACTGTGAGAACATACCATGCGACGGGCCGAGAAGTATGGACATTGCTTGTGTTCTTCGCCATATCTACTTAACCCATCAAGGGTGAAGACACCCGGAGGTACGAGGTTGTGCGGTTCGAGAAGGTCAAGGTTCTGTAGAGCGTCAGTCAATCGTCACGAACCTGTGAGAAACTCTCCATACCTCATGGTAAACGCACAACTCAACATCTTCGCCCCGCTCCTTCTTTTCCTTCACGAATCCCGCAGTTAAACTCCGACATCTTGCGTCGACCACTGTACCACTCTTTTCTCGTTTGACCGACGGATGCAGACACAGATTCTTTCGACTAGTTAGCCCGAGCGCGCGGAAATCTTCAGTGTATCCCAGCTCCTTGGCGCGGAAACTCATCAAGGCCTTCAGCTCGGCCAGCGCCTTCTCGATCTCGGACATCGTTCGAGAGCAGTAGATGAGCTTCCTATGCTCGGGATAATGCTGCTGATATGCTACGATCAACGACAGCAGCGAGACAGTCTTTCCGGTACCCGAAGGCATCTCCAAGACGCAGTGACCCCCGGCATCGAGGGTCTTCTTGAGATCGCACATGTAGGCATATTGTTCGGGATAGATGCGAGGATAAGGGAAGAGCACGGGGAGATCACTAGACGCCGGATGAGATTAGAAGCTTGTTTCTGCTGAATACGCTTAGCGGGGGAAGGCAGGAATGCCAGTGAGACTTACTCAATGAAGAACTTCATTGTGACGGGATGAGCGCGGTGCTCGCGACGGGGAAGAGGAAGCTGACCAGAGCTCTTTTCTCCGTCGCTTCTATCTTTTTGCCTCTTCTTGTAGACCGCGCCGGCTTTTGCCCGATCGGGGGATCGATGATACCAGGTCACGTGAAATGCCCGATAGGGACGCCGATAATGGAGTCCATGCCGCCGGATTTGAGATGAGGACAATTACAACTAACTTACAGCCCGATCGATGGGGTATTTTGGAGTGCAGGACTGTCCGGCGTGAACTACTCTCTGTTTGTACCCAGCGGACTGGACCGAATCCCCCCTGGAGTGCACCTGCTGGCCAATATCTCGAGTCAATCACCTTCCAGTAACCGATTTCGTCATTTTCTTTACACCCCGCCATCCCCCACTTTACTATGAGCAGCAAAAAGTACAAGTCTCAGGCCTCAAGCAGCCGGGCTGCTGCTAGCACATTTGGCTCATTTGGAGGATTCTCCAGCGCATTCTCCAGTCAGGGAAGGGAACCATCATCACTTACATACGTCACAGAGCCTCCGGATCTATCTCGCATATCGGAGGCGCAGTTGACAATCGCATTCAAGAATTTCCTCAAGAAGGATGAGGTTACCCGCACAAAGGCTCTGGACGACTTGCGCGACCACGTTTTGGCTGTCGAGAGTCGCAATGGGACCCTTGATGATGGGTTCCTGGAAGCTTGGGTAGGTTTACATTGACTTCTCACGCCGCACTAGAGCATTCGGTTGATCGTGGTTCGGTATCTCGGCAGGTCAGGATCTACCCACGCGCCTCGATAGATCTTTCTCGGAGGGTGAGACAAACAGCGCACTCGACCCAGGGATCTATTGCGTCTCTTGTCGGAAAGCGCATTGCTCGCTTCTTGCCCAAGGTCATTGGAGCATGGCTTGCGGGACTTTACGACAACGATCGGCCAGTCCATCGCGCTGCGCTGGAATCATTCACGCGCGTATTCTCGACCGACGAGAAGAGGAACGGTGTATGGAAAGTTTACCAGTCCTCCATTCTGGATTTCGTAGATGATGTCATTCTCCAACAGACCCCTCAAACGTTGAGCGATGAGAGGACTGTGAAGGCAGATGACGCCACAGCCAAATATGCACGAGTGGCTGGAACTGCCCTCTTGCTGTTCAACAGGATACTCGGTATGAATGTTCTTTTGTAGTTTGCCCACACTTCATCTGACGAGCTTCAATGCAGGAAACTCCGCACAAGAGGACCTTGAGAAGGCAACACCCACGATAGAGACACTTCTAGGAAGTAAGTCCCTGTGGGCTCTATCGTATCATGAAGATGCTTTCGTGCGCCGGTCACTCTATGTTCTTGCGCGCACTGCAGTCTCCAAGCAGCCGGAGGAACTGGATTGGAAACTCATCAGTGCTGCTCTGATTGGCAAGTCACTGCACTGTAGCCAATTGGGCTCCGCATCGGAACTCTCCGAGACTATCCTGCATGTGACCTCCGCAAGGCCTCAATTGTGGACTGAAGATTACTCCGGAAAGTCCTCGTCTTCCAAGAGATTACTTCAATATCTTCAGAAAGGTTCTCAGGGTGGCGCAAGCTCCTTCTGGACCAATTTTTACGAGCTGCTGCAGATCATTCCAATCAAGACTCTTGCACAGGTTGATTCAAAATCAACCGATGAGAATAACGTCGGAGTGACGAGTGCCCGTGCTCTGACAGAGACTTTCCAGGAGGGACTAAACTCCAGAGACGAGCCTCGGCAAAACCGAGCTGTTGGCTGGAAAGCTTACATTGATACTGTTATGTGGCTTGCAGGTCGGCTTGGTCAGGATGAGGGAACGAACTTGTTGCGCGAAAGGCTCCGACCTTTGATTGTACAATATGTGAAACCCGAGTCAGACCAGGCTCAATGGGGTCTACCTCCTCAGTCAGCAGAGCCTATCTGCACAGATGCCCTTTTTGTGCTGACCACGCTAGGCTACAAGCATGTATTGGAGCAAACGTGGAGAGAGCTGTCAGACAGCTTGCTCGAAGCTGTCAAGTTGTCTTCCCCGGAACAATCGAAGGACTTCAAAACCTCCCAGGACGCTGTCTGCGCGCAAGCAGAGCGTTTTCTTGCTTTGGAAGCCTCATTACTTTCTCGAGTAAAAGATACAGACCATGAAGCCGAGGTTTCGGATGTGTTCAATGCTACTAGCCTTTCGTTGCTTGATAGCTGTCTGGAGGTTTTGCGCTCGAGGAATGGCAAGCCGTATGGAGCGGCTGCTGTTGTCGAACAAACTGTACTCAAAGTTGCGCCGATTGCCAAAGCCTCGCAGTCACTGTTGAGCTTTGTCCAAGATGACGCACCGGAGCTCCTGTCGTCGCCTTCCGCTGACAGGCTCATCTCGATTATCCTGTCCTGCCGATCCTGGGATGGGTTTGGCTCCAGCTTCGAGAAAGTTTTGGAGAGAGTTGCCCAGTTCGACCCGGAGACTTCGAACGCTCACACTGTACAAAAGCTACTTTCCACCCTCGATTTCCAAGAATTGGACGAAAAGAGTGGTCTCATTTCTCTGATCATGCGAGCCCTTGATAGGGCCTGCAATGGGAGTGATTTACACTGGTCAATTGTGATCGCAGTGCTTCAGAACGAAACCTCCCACGGAGGACTGTCAGACACGATCTTCCTAGCAATCATCGATGCCTTGTCAGATGATACCAAGGTTTTCGACACCTTGCATGGTCTCTCTCAAGTCGCGCGGGCTGTTCCCCTGGCATTCAAAACTTTCCAGAATGGGCCCCACGGGTCCAAACTAACTGGAAAGCTACTTTTCCTTTCTGAGTCTTCATCAGAAGATGTTTCAAGCGTAGCAGAATCGTTGGCCAAGACCTTGAAGGAGTCGATCGTTAGCGAGACGAGTGCGAACAAATCGAGCTTTGAGATTCTACAGCACAGTTTTGACAATGTCAATGACCAATCGCTATCGTGAGTGTTAACCGAGAAAGAGACAAAAGGACGATCAGAATTAACTGTTTCTAGGGTTGAGTCACTTGTAACTATCGCCGAAGAACTGCTGCACAATGCCAAGGCAGAAGAGGTTGGGAAGGTTGCAAAGGATATTCTGCCTTCTCGCGAGTCCTGGGCGAAAGCTTTGGGTCCATTCCTCGAACTCCCTCCAAGACCTTCAACTGCCATCACAAGCCCACTCAGTGGTACTGTGCATTTAATCAATCGTGATTTGTCGGACACACTACAGCAACGTTATGAAAGTCTTCCTAGGGATTCAAACAACTCCTCCTCAGCATTCCGATTGGCCTATTTCACTGTCAGAATCCTTTCTTCTTTCGGTTTAATCCAAAACCTGGACAAGGCTGAGATGGAGACATTGTTCTACAATATCCCTCTAGCACTGCAGCTCATTGATGATGATTTGAGTATCGAGAACTGTAATGGCATCAGCGGGATCTCGCTTCCTGAACAAAGGGATGAGTATATGGATGTTGTCAACGACGGTTGGAAGGTCGTCAGTGGCTGGGCTCGGTCCCACGAAAAGGGTGCAGCCGAGGCCGAAGCGACTATATCCTCTATGCTCTCTGCATTCTGGAAAGACAAGCTCGAAGGGCTAGAAGATCTTGCTCCACTCGACTATCATATCGGAGTCGCTTTTGTGAAGATCATGGACACCGCCGACTCTTCCAACAGCGCCAAGTCGCCGGAAGAGGTCACCCAGCTTTGCAGGGATATGCGCAAAGCGAATGCCATCCGCTCGGCTGCTTGGGTAGCTACATTGCGCCATGTCATTCTATCGAATCCTACGGGTATGCGGCTGTGCAACGAGTTTGTCGCAGACTCGACTGGACTGAAACCTCAGGATGAGAATAAAGACGGTCAGTAAGGGCTTCTCGTATGTCTTGACTATGCTGATAATTGGTAGGGTTGCGAAAGCTGGTTCTCCTTAACCTCCTGCTCGCTGGGGACCAGGACGTCGCGGCGTCCATACCCACCCAGCGTTTGATGTTCCTGATCAAGCATCTCACCCAATGCCTTCAATCTGATGCTGTATCCCTTAGCCTCAAGGCCGAGATTCTTCAGACTCTAGTATTCGTACTCCCATGCATTCAAGAGATGTACGGCTCTCACTGGGAAGATTGCTTGGAGATTCTTGACGCGACCTGGAAGAGGACTAGTGGTGGCGACGAGGCTCTTCCTGTGGTCTTGTCATCTTACAGACTTTTCGCTAGATTACAATCGATCGTCAGTGACGAAGAGAGTAATGATGATGTGAAGGATGCGTGGTCGGATCGGAAATCGAAGCTATTTAACAGTTTGACCTCGACTTTGCGAAAATTTGGTAAGTCTATCACGTTTCGCAATCTGAGAACATTGTTAATGATTATCATGTAGATTCGTCAACGATCTTCGATCAACCCCGGGACATCACGGTTGACCTGCTCTGTCGGTTTGTCAAGAACATCCCGGTCGAGAATCTAGAGGACGTTAGCAGTGTCTTCTCGCTTCTGACGGCGCAGAGCCGAGCTATTCAACGCACTGCCTACACTCTGCTGCACCGGTACATTCCCAGCGTGCAGGAACAGGTATCTTTCGATGTGGCTTTGTCGAAGACGACGGTCCGACTACCTGACGAACTCGTGTCTCTTTTGCTTGGCGCACCGACGATGGACTCGATCAATAGATCTTACGGCAATGAGAGGACCTGGACTGAGCTCCGCTCCTATTTGCTGAGTTGGAAGATCGTCTTCGATCACTTTGTCAATGCGGTAAGTTTCCACATCCGAAGACGTCACCCATAGCAGGCAGCATCTAACTGATTCAAATAGTCTCTCACTGTCCAAGAGAACTATGTTGCTAGTATCCGAGAGAATGAGAGTTTGGACTCATTGCTGGAGCTCACGTTCGACTTTCTCCAGCAGTCCCACGGCAAGATGATTGATGCGTCCAAGTTTGACATCCGCTCTTTTGAACCGGATCAGTCTGAAACCCCTGAAAAGGAGATCCAATGGCTTCTTGTGCACTTGTACTTCCTGTGCCTGAAGCATTTGGCCAACATGACCAAAGGATGGTGGATTGACACGAAAAAGCGCATCAAGGGACCAGTAGAAGCCTGGACTGAGAAATACGTATGTCTTACCGGATGCAATCATGCAGCAGATTACTGACTCCCCCTTTTAGATCTCTCCATTGGTTATTGAAGAGTCATTGCAAGGAGTCTCTGAGTGGACTCAGACGCAAGATCCCAACGAAGAACGTGCGCTGCAGGTGAAGATTGCGCCGAAGACCGCGGAGATCATCGCCAGTATCCCGGTCGACGAGGATTCGCCGCCAGTCTCGCTGTCGATCTCGCTGCCACCTGCCTACCCGCTTCAGCCCGCGTTGGTAGTCGGGCGGAGTCGTGTTCTGGTGGACGAGAGGAAGTGGAAGAACTGGCTGACGACCATTCAGGGTGTCATCATGTTTGCCAATGGCAACATGATAGATGGACTGCTAGCATTCCGGAAGAACGTGCAGGGGGCGCTCAAGGGCCAGAGCGAGTGCGCTATCTGCTACAGTGTCATCTCGACGGACATGCAGACGCCGAACAAGCGCTGCGCGACGTGTAAGAACACGTTCCATTCGGTGTGTCTGTTCCGGTGGTTCAAGAGCAGTAACCAGAGCACGTGTCCGCTGTGCCGGAACAACTTTGTTTATGTTTGAGGCGGTGCTTAGTATACACTGTGCATAGAATTGTCTATCGTGATAAAAGTGGTATAGATAGAATTGATTACCATACGTGTCTCCATATGAACAGCCAGTTTCTCCGCATTTAGAATGCATGCCTGACAAACCAGGCAGGATGAACTCCGCTTCCGCCGGGGACGAAACGAACAACCGCGGAACCTCCGCCCGCCTTTCCATCCCAAGTTTCCCCTCCTTCCCCTCCTTTCCCTCCTTCCACTCCGCTCTCCCCCTCATCTCATGTCAGCTTCACAGATCCCCAATCTCAACACCTTACGTCGCGGCGGCGCTCGTCTTCGCGGTCGCGGCCGTGGCGGAGGCGAGTTAGGTTCTGATGCTCCCTCTCGACGAGGAGGCTCCAGCACCAAAGACCGAGTGGTACAAGGCACAGACAATGACGCCAGCGTCTCTCGTCTCAGTGCCGTGAACCTAGGCTATCTCGACGACCCATTTGCATCAGCCTTGACCCCTCCAGGCCAAGAAACCCGACGCCTGCCCATCATCAATCGAGGTACGCAACCCTCTGCCCTCCAAATCCTGTCCCTTAACCTCGTCCCGTAACTAACAACCCTCTACACAAAAAAGGCACCTACGTCCGCACCACAACAATCGACCACCTGCTCACGCAATTCCTCCACCCTTCCACAACCCCCCATCGACCAGACACAGACACCCCCCAACGAACCCCCACAACACCAACAAAGTCCACCATCCCCACCCTCCTCCGACCAAAGCCAAAACAAATCATCTCCCTCGGCGCCGGCTCCGACACCCGCATCTTCCGCCTCCTCGCCCAGACCCAGACCCAGACCCAGACCCAACCCCACCCCGAACAAACAATCATCTACCACGAACTCGACTTCCCCAGCAACACCGCCTCCAAAATCCGGGCCATCCGCGCCGTCCCCCACCTGCAGCGCGCGTTAGGCGACCCGCAAACCGTCACTATCTCCCCCGCCGCCGACGCCCTGCATACCCCGCACTACCACCTCCACCCGATCGATCTCCGCCAGCTGGCTGCTTTAGCGTCATCACCACCTTCGAGGAAGGGGGATCTAGGGAATGAGGGCGCGGACCTCCGACTGGACACCCTCCTCCCGGGCCTCGACCCGACTCTGCCGACGGTGTTGATTTCCGAATGCTGTCTGATTTATTTGGAGCCCGAGGAGGCGCGGCGGGTGGTCGAGTTCTTTGTTGGGGTTTTCGATGCTTCCGTCGGTGAAGGAAAAGCTGAAGCTGGAGCTGGAGCTGGGTCTGGGGCTGGAGCAGACGGCCCGCCCCCAACCCCCCCGCTGGGCATCATCCTCTACGAGCCGATCCGGCCGGACGACGCGTTCGGGCGCACGATGGTGGCCAACCTGGCGACGCGCGGCATCCAGCTGCAGACGCTGCACCGGTACGCGAGCCTGGCGGCGCAGCGGGCGCGGCTGCGGGCGCACGGGTTCGTGGACGGGCAGGCGGCGGCGGATGTGGATTTCCTGTGGGAGCGGTGGGTGGCGGAGGGGGAGAAGGAGCGCGTGGCCGGGCTGGAGATGTTGGATGAGATGGAGGAGTGGCGGTTGTTGGCGCGGCATTATTGCGTGGCGTGGGGGTGGAGGGAGGGTGGAGGACGGCAGCAGCACGTGTTTGAGGGGTGGAGGGGGTTGGAGGGGCAGCAGGACGAGGATTAATCCTGAGGTTAGCTGGATGGGTCGTCAAGTTAGGTATAAGTAGGTATGGAGCTCAGGCGAAGCTGCAAGGGGTTTGTGTGAGCTGTGCTGTGGATGTGTTTGACTGAGATGCACTGCACCGCATTCTACGTTGCTGGAGGCATTACCTCCCCTGATATGACTAGGTCACCGTCACTTAACTGCAGTGCAATCCACGATGTACAGTACCTACTATATTCCAGCCCAGCTATATATAAACACCAATCAACCATCTTACCCCCAACCCTAACCCCAGGTCCCGACCGATTAGAAGACTACAACTTCCCCCTCTCCAAGAACCGCACCGGCAAATCCACAAACCGCGCCCGCAGGAACTCGGCGACATTCTTCCCCAAAAAGTCCACCGTCACCGTCGCGCACACCCCGCGATCCAACAGGTTCCTAAACAGGAAATGCACCGCCCGGAGATTAGGCAGCTCGAACCGCTCCACCCGCAGGGAAGCAGCACCGGCGGCGGCGGTATCAGTGTCAGTAGACGTGTACTGCGGCCCCAATAGCTCCTGGACCGTCGACACGGTCAGCACCCGTCGCAGCCACTGGAACTCGTCCGCATGGCGCACCCAGAAGCCGCAGTTGGCGTCGGGGCCCTTGTCGCCGGAGCGGGCGTGGACGGTCCAGCCTAGGGGGCCGCGGATGGTGGGGCCGTAGTTTGTGGTTGAGGGGATGGGGGGCGCGGGGGGAGCGGAATGGCCAGGGAGTGGGGGAGTGGGGGCTAGTTCCGCTTGCGCGGCGGGAGGAGGGGCGATGTCTACGGTTTGAGGACCAGCACCAGCAGCACCCGTCTTCCAGGGCAGGTGCACGCGGTGCTGGACGGCGGTCTGCGGCAAGAGACAGACGAAGTATTCGAAGATCGGCCGGGGAAAGCCCTGGCGGGTGTCGAGGTGCCAGGTTGCGCCGGGGTAGCCTTGCATGATGTTGTCGGTGATGGGCCGCAGGAAGCGGGGGGGCGCGAGGGCGGCGGCGGTGTGGGCCTGCGCGACGATGCGGAAGGTCACGGTGGCGCTGTCCTGGGTGCGCGGGTCGTCGGGCGCGGACCCGAGGGTCGAGAAGGTCAGCGCCGTGAAGGCGTCGGAGTATGGGGCGAGGACGTGGCGGATCTGCGCCTCTAGCATGCGCGCCTTGGCGGCGATGTCCAGCCCGACCAGGAAATAAACCGCCTCGGCTTGGAACCCCCCATGCGCGGAGATGCCCACCTTGGTCGTTGGGGGCGGGGGTGCGGACCGCACGCCGCGCAGGGCCACCCGGTTCGTGCCGCGTTGCTCGAAGGAGATGTCGCTGAGCAGGGCGGTGACGTCCGAGTTGAGGTAGCGGGGGCCCTGAATCTCGTACAGCAGCTGCGCGGAGCAGGTGTCGACGGTAACGGCGCCCCCGGTTGCGTAGGTTTGCATCGTGATGATCACTTGCCCCTCCGGGGAGATCTCCGCGATGGGGTATCCGATGTTGGTCCATCCGTCCCGGCCGAGGGATTCGAGCATCTTGAAGCCGGTGAAGTTGCCGCCGCAGACGTAGTTGCTGCATTCGATCAGGTGGCCGGCTACGAGGGCGTTGGCGAGGCGGTCGAGGTCGCTGCGTTGCCAGCCGTGGAACCAGTATGCTGCTCCAATGACGGCGGATGCGTCGGAGACTCGTCCGCACAGGACGATATCGGCGCCATTGGCTAGCGCGGCTGCAATCCCCAGTCCCCCGAGGTAGCACTGCGCGAAGATCGGCTCGAAGGGCCACTCGGACAACGGCTGGCCAGTATAGATGCTCTTGAAGTCGGACTTGCCCGACGAAAGTGCCTCTTGGACGGTCGACAGGACCTGGTCACCCGATACCCAAGCGACCTGCAGCCGAATGTGAGCACATTCCCTCGAAGACAGCAGCCACTGCAAGTGGAGATAGTAACCTTGAGGTCTAGTCCTTTCGCCTGCACCATCTGCACAACCGCGTCGTGGAGGCCCTCCGTATCGGCGTTCCCTGCATTGACCGCCAGTTTGACCCCATGCTTGGCAAGGGCCACCAAGGCCGGCTCGAGGGCAAGCAAAAATGACGCCTCGTATGCAGGTGCCGGCGTAGTGGTAGCCGATCCTCGGCCGGGTTGCACCTGTTCATACCGCGCCCGGATCTGGTCGACTCGCCGGGCTGCCCCAGCGGACATGTTGGCCTCGCTCAAGAAATCGGCGGTGATAACGTCCACCGGGTCTCGGGGATAGTTGCGTGCAAACTCCGCTATGGCATAGTGTCGATCCGAAGCGGAACCTGACGCCCCTGGGGTAACTTAGTATACAGCGGAAAGGACGGTCTCTCTCATGGCTCACCAGCGATGCGAACGGAACGCGAAGCCATAATCACGGTAAATAGACAGTGGTGGCGGTGGTGGTGGTACTGGTCACGGGTACAGTAGACAATTCCTTTGGCTGGAAGTGAGCTCCGAGTAATTTATCACAAAAATGTGAGGCGAGACAAGGCAAGGGCGCCCCGGTGTGACTGTGACACCATCTGGGTTGAGCCGAGGAGATTCGGTCGAACGAAGGGCGGGGTTGACAAGGATTCAGGCGGTCACTTCAATCTAATGAAACAAAGAATGGATGATGAGTTACCGAAAAGTCCCGCTACAGGGTAGAAGGCAATTTCCCAGTTACCTGAACCTAATTAACGGTCAAATCGTCAGAAGCATAACCCACGCTGGAAGTTAAAGCCAGGATCGTGGGCAAGATGATGTCACCCGCAACGTGGTGATGTACTGCGAACCATGGTATATCTACACATATCCAATCCAGTGCATAATCCCCATGGCCATGAACAGCACCAAGACTGTTGTTTTGGCGGTTTCGATATCATCCCGATGGCGACGAGCCCAGTTTCCCAGTTGTGCCACCCCGGTAAACTTGTTGTTATCCTTCACAGCGGTCCAGAGTGCCGGCAGCCCATCAAGACTTCGGTAATTCCACTCCTTTTGGTAGGCCCGCATCTTGTTCGCCTGCACCTGCTTGCCTGCCCAGTGGCCCAATGTGTCGCGGTCTTTGAGATATGGTTTGGATTCGTTGGTGTCGGGATCAAGCTTCACGGACAGCCGCGGAACTCCATAACCGCATGACGATTGGACCTGTATCCGGTATGACCATTGACGTTAGTGATGAGCTTTTGTGTCAGCCGATTTCTGCACAAGAATGCCTGAACTATATACTGCAGGCGACTCCGACAGGTGCAAGGTTACAGATATCTTGAAATAGGCAAAGAAGAACGAGGCAGGAGATCCAACCTTAAACACGTCCAGATGGATGATCGCTCGTGCTCCAACCACGGCCTTGCCTCCCATACGGTCAAGATATTGTGGAAACTCAGGCTGGTCCCATTCAATCACCGAACCATTGCAGAAGAAACGCACGATCCCGGGTGCTGTGTCGAATGAGCAGAACATGACCGTTATGCGACCGTTTTCACGCACGTGGCTAATGGTCTCACTTCCGGACCCGGTCGCATCTATGTAAGCAGCCTCATTCGGGCCAAGTATGGCCAACGAGGCATCAGGCAGTCCTTTGGGGGATAGATTGATATGGCGACCTTGCAGCGGGGCCGAAGCGACGAAGAAGACGCTTTGACGCAGGACCCAATCCCGTAGGTCGTCCGAGATGGAGGGATAGAATTTCGGCATGGTATGGCTTGGAAGTGAGGATCTGATCAGCTCAACTGACGCTTGATTTGACACTCTTGGAAATCGAAGGTGGGATGGATGCAGAGATAAAAGGGGATGGAGATGCTTCGAAGGAATGCGCGGAGGTGTGGTGCAACTCCGTCAGCCGCGCCGCCCTCTTACTGGCACGACAGGGATTTGCATCTGCCACGGGATTGTTCGAGTCTTTCGGCATGAATGCCGCTCGAAGACTTGTGAAGATCTTTCGTATGCTGCTTGCTCACTTTGTACAATCTGACACAAAGATACCTATTGGTATTCAAGTCATTGATGATGCATTTATTTGCGGATGTAGGATGTCAGTCCAAGTCATCGCATCATGTCGAATTGCAATCAAGAACAAGGTACGGTCCACATTTGACGGTACAAGTTCTGGATTTCAGACAAGATGGATAATAACAAGTGACAAGAAAATCAGTTTGCTATGCTCAGATAAGAAGCCCATCACAGTGCATCGAGTCCTCTTATCGCAACTAGGGCAGCTGTAGTTCAAGTGTTGTGACATGGTGAGTGGAAACTGTGGGGTTAAGGTCAGGAGATGAGCAGCGCTGAATACCTTCAATGGTCCAAGGCAGCATCATCATGGATATCTTGAACAACAGCGAGAAAGACTGACAGAGCCTGCTCGGTACTCGATCACCCATCCATCGCTCTTGTTGCTCGCAAGATCATCGGATGAGAATGGAAACCATCGACCATTCTTGAACCACGCCTAGCCAGGGACAACAGGCCCGGGATGAATCAACCCGAGGCAGCGATCGGGGCACCGGGAGAAAGGTACCGAGGGGTCGGTCCGGGGAAAAGCCCGTCCCGTGACCAGTCCGATTATTAACTACGTACTTGGATTGTGCGTGATCATGGAGTGGAGGGATAGGCCAGAATCATTCTATGCACGGTAAGTGGGGGAAGGAGGGGCTAGCAGGGGCTAAGTTAGCAGTGGCAAGCTCTGATCTTCAATACGAGTTGGATGACGAGACATTTTAGTGTTTGGGGAGTTCTCGATAGCTTATCTCTGGATAGACCAGAGTACTCGTTAGTACCTAGTTCTCAGAGCCAGGTAGAGGGCCCCTATCTCTAAATATACTGGGGATCACGATGCATGTAGGGACGGAGTACGGACTACGGAGTAGATAAAAAGGTGGTGAAGGCGCGGCACGTGTTTGGGTTCTGGAACTCGGCCGACAGGAAGCCAAGCCTCTTGGTGTGTCAGTTTGAATGAGTTCGAGTCCATGGTTGGTCTGCTTGGTTTGGTTGCCGTAGCCCGCTTGGCATTGGTTCATGTCTCATTTCTTTCAATCCTTCGGGAGGGCACTTCTTCATCCATTGGCAGAGGAGTAGTTATAAGTTCCCTTGATCCGGCTGATCTGCTTGCTCATTCATTCATTCAAATATTGGACCAGGTTGATCTCCTGCAGGATTGGGGCAATAAGTTAGTCGAGTCTAGTCCAGATAGCTGCAACTGGCTGACGGAGCCTGGAGCTGAGGGGTTGCCCGGGGATAAGAATGGCAGACTAATTTAGTGAGCAAGCGCGAGTTATACCGCATTGAGTCCCATTGACTGGTTGTTGAGGGGACGAGAGGGTGAGATCCCCACCACCGAGGCTAAGCGGGGAGATTCCGCGCCACTATGGCTTTTAGTCTAGTGACACACAGCACTGGATAAGAATAAGCTGCAGGGCAGGATGGATGGAGTGGGTAAACCGGTCTCGTTCGGGAATTCTCTGATAGAAAAGTCAGAAGGATAAAAAAAATAAGAAACCAGCAGAAAATGTTGTACTTAGTAACCTGGTACCTTGCCAGTAAGTAGATGGGTTAGTAACTTAGTATAACTATTAAGATGGAGGAGGGTGGGCGAGATGAGAATCTGCTGCGGAAACCCCGCACGATCTGAAAAAACCCACCCACGGAACTGGCAAACCAGCCAGCGAGAGGTTCAGTAACGTTCAGTAACGTTCAGTAACGGAGCAAAGCGGGGCGCGCAAGGCGTGGGCCATGAAGTAATTTGAATCCATCCCCTCCCCTCTGGACTCCCCGGTTCGGTCGACGAAACAGCGATGAGCAATACTAAAAGCCATTGTGCTGTTACATACTGAGTACTGCACTGCATTAACCGTACTGGGAGAGCTTCGCCTCCTCCACCCCTCCTTCGGCGACATCTTCCCCCTCCCTCCATCATTTTCCCTTTGAATGTTCCTCCGTTTCCTCCGTCCCCACCTCGGCGATCCTAGCTATGGTTCACCATGTTCGTTACTTTATTAACACTGGAGCTTCCCCTCCCCCTCCCCTCATTCTCTCTTCCTCTTCCTCTTCCTCTTCCTCTTCCTCTTCTCCTCTCATCTCGCCTCTCCTTTCCCTCCTTATCATCCTAATTTCACACCATGGCTGATCTTTTCACCACCATCGAGACCCCTCTCGCCAAGTACGAACAGCCTCTGGGCTTGTATGTGTCTCCCCATCGTGGACTCGTTCTCATGCTTCCTCCCCACCACTAACTATCTGCTTTACGATCAGGTTCATCAACAACGAGTGGGTCAAGGGTGTCGAAGGCAAGACCTTCGAGACCATCAACCCCACCAACGAGAAGCCTATTGTTTCCGTTCACGAAGCTACGGAGAAGGATGTCGACATTGCCGTTGCGGCTGCCCGCAAGGCCTTCGAGGGCTCCTGGGGTCACGTCACTCCTCACCAGCGCGGCCGCTTCCTGACCAAGCTGGCTGACCTGTTCGAGCGCGATGCTGACATCCTGACCGCCATCGAGGCCCTGGACAACGGCAAGTCGATCTCCATGGCCAAGGGGGATGTTGGCGCCGCTGCCAAGTGCTTGCGCTACTATGGTGGCTGGGCCGACAAGATCCACGGTCAGACCATTGACACAAACAACGAGACCTTCGCCTACACCCGCCACGAGCCCATTGGTGTTTGCGGTCAGATCATCCCCTGGAACTTCCCTCTCCTCATGTGGTCTTGGAAGATCGGCCCCGCTCTGGCCACTGGTAACACCGTCGTCCTCAAGTCGGCAGAACAGACTCCCCTGTCTGCCCTCTATGCCGCTAAGTTGGTGCTCGAGGCGGGCATCCCCGCTGGTGTCGTCAACGTCATCTCCGGTTTCGGTCGTGTGGCCGGTGCCGCCATCTCCAGCCACATGGACATTGACAAGGTTGCCTTCACTGGTTCTACCCTGGTTGGCCGCACCATCATGCAGGCCGCTGCCAAGAGTAACCTGAAGAAGGTGACTCTCGAGCTGGGTGGCAAGTCCCCCAACATCGTCTTCAACGACGCTGACATTGACAACGCCATCACCTGGGCCAACTTCGGTATCTTCTACAACCACGGTCAGTGCTGCTGCGCCGGTTCCCGTCTTCTGGTTCAGGAGGGTATCTACGACAAGTTCGTCGCTCGCCTGAAGGAGCGTAGCGCCCAGAACAAGGTGGGCAACCCCTTCGAGAAGGACACCTTCCAGGGTCCCCAGGTCTCCAAGCTCCAGTTCGATCGCATCATGGAGTACATCGACCACGGCAAGCAGGCTGGTGCCACCGTTGCCGTTGGTGGCGAGCGCCACGGCGATGAGGGCTACTTCATCCAGCCAACTGTCTTCACTGATGTGACCGAGGACATGAAGATTGTCCAGGAGGAGATCTTCGGCCCCGTCATCACCGTTCAGAAGTTCAAGGACGTCGAGGACGCCATCAAGATCGGTAACAACACTTCCTACGGTACGTCTTTCACTTCTCAATGCCTTGTACCTTCATACTGACGAACGCCTACAGGTCTTGCCGCTGGTATTCACACCAAAGACATCAACACCGCCCTCCGCGTGGCCAACCAGATGCGTGCTGGGTATGTATCCATCATCGCTTGTAGATTCGACCGAACAAACACTGACAGTGAAAATAGTACCGTCTGGGTCAACAGCTACAACATGCTCGACACTCAAGTGCCGTTCGGTGGTTTCAAGGAGTCCGGTATCGGTCGCGAGCTTGGCTCGTACGCCCTGGAGAACTACACTCAGATCAAGGCTGTGCACTTCCGCCTGACCGATGCTCCTTTCGCTTAAATGGATGAGACTGTGGAGGGACTCGCTACGGTGACGGGTCATTGAAGTTCTAAGCTTTGGTTGCACGTAGCCATGACTGGTTCATGTAAAACAATTTCTAGGATACGAATTTACGAGATTTTCATAACTCATGCCTTCTCATCGGTTCATCATGTCATACAAGCGTGCTTCGTAGCTGATTACACCACGAAATATCCTTTGGTAGGAGGTAAAGCGGAAGATCCCAAGGGCGAACGAACACTCGGGGCAAAATCGACCCGAGTAACATCGGGGTGAAGATAGCCCGAGCACTAGCTCCATCCGGGGGCAGTCACCTGCCTTCAAGGTTGTTTCGCTTGCTCTCGACCTCGAGAAAAAGCCTCCTCTTTACCAACCACTGGTAGGGCTGTCAGCAGCAGGAGAGAGTCGCTGTATGCAGCCAAAGCACTCGCTCTGAGCTTCGTGCATCCATCGTGGCACAAGGACATGGATGGATACACAATGGCATGACTCTTATCCAGTCATGAAGCGAGGCTTCATCTAGACCGGTCTGCACTAAACTCTGGAGTCTATCCATCCAACTCTTATCTCTGCTTACATGCACCCATATGGGCTTTGTTATCGCGACCGGTCGTTCCTGCCTCAGGTCGATGTCCACCAGCTCTAATTCGTTTCCCCTGAAGGCTCAAAACAGGGACGATGATATAGCCTGACACCAGGGTTGTGGACCCAGAGGTAAGGTAGCACACAAAAAGCCTTCTTCTCGTGGGTTCCCTGTTTGTTAGCATTCTATTGGGCTTTCGCTGCTGCTGTAGACTGACGAGCTGACAGTGTCTGCTTGGGTTGCTACTTCCTGGTGTCGCACAGTTCCCTGCATTGAAACCCCAAACGGCAACAGTCCCAAAATGCTTGTCCTTCGAGCAAGGGAACAAGCTAGATATATCATGCCCTAGGCGTCTCCGAGAGCCTGGCTTGCACCAGGGCCGATCAGAGTCCAGGTAAGCGAACCAAAATGGCGATCTCAGCGGATCTTTGCTGCGGTGTGGTCATGGCTCTGCAGAATTTGATTATGATCACACTGCTCACTCGGACACCCAAGGGCTCCTTCATGCGATGGATCTGTTTCCCCTCGATGGTCTACCTGGCCTACCTCGAGGGGGTGCTCAATAGCCTCAGTGCGTCGACGTTTATGTTCAAGATGCGGACCGGCGGCCACTCCTTCACCTTCCTCATCCAACTGATGAATCTCCTTTATATCTCCAACGTCGACCTGACCACACTGCCAAACCGGTCCAAGGCCGCCTTCCAGCTCCTGCTCACCATCCGGGGCATCGGAACACCATGGCAGCCCAAGAACATCCCTTCTTTTCCAGCCGTGATGCAAACCGATCCTCCTCCCGGACGCACGCAGTACGTCGTCCGCCAGCTCGCCATCATCATTTGGCAGGGTCTCTTCCTTCGTCTCCTCGAGCACCCGCGTCTCCACCCCGACCAATCGTTCTACAGACCCGGACAGGAGTTCTCATATCGACTGGACCAATGGCCCGGCCGACTGGCATGCACCTACATTATCGGGTTGATCCCTTCCTATCTGTTCCTGGATATGATGTACCGCGGCACAGCTATCCTCTTCGTCGGCTCGGGTGACCATTCTGTGTCTCAGTGGCCGCCATTATTTGGGAGTCTTGCCGATTCCTACACGTGCCGTGGTTTCTGGGGGTAGGTCTCCATTCTATTTGAAAGACCCCAATGTTACACCTTTCCCTGACTCTTTCTTGCCTCCTCTCTTCGAACATCCGAGTATATTCTCGTATCTAACCCTTAATGGTGCCCTCTCAGCAAATTCTGGCACCAATACCTCCGCTGGCCCTTCAGCAGCTTCTCAAAGTGCGTCACCACCCGCATTCTCAAATTACCCCGGCCCTCCCTCGTCGAGCGCTACGTCAACGTCTTCATCGTCTTCAGTCTCTCCATGATCATGCACATGATCGGCAACACCGTCGCCGGAGTAGAGGGCGGACACTTCGGCTCACTACTGTTCTTCCTGTCGCATGTCGTCGCCATCATGTTCGAGGATGCGGTGCAGTATGTGTGGCGCGCGGCGGCGGCGCGGCGGCCTCGCGCCCCGGTGCGGCTTGAAGATGAACAGAAACAGAAAAAAGGAGACGTCAATGCTGATGCTACCCCCGCTGCGATCCGCGGTGGTGGTGGTGTCCCTCCGCTCTGGCAACGCTGCGTCGGCTCTGTCTGGGTGGTGCTCTGGATTGCGTGTTCGTGGTCCTGGTGGTATTATCCCATCATTCGAACCATGATCAAACATGGAGACCTGTCGGCGACTTCGAGTGGAAAGGAAGTTGTTCCGAGCTGGGAGCTGCCGACACTGGTGGGCTTGGTGGCTGGGGGTGCGGTTTTGCTTCGGGTAGTGTTCAAGGCGGAGCCGTGATTGTGATTTTCGGTATGGGCTTGGCTGGGGTTTAGGGGTTATAGGACAGTGGTCTAGCAGGGATTAGTTGGTGTTGTCTGGACCAGGAGTCTTAATCGAGCTTGCTATATGTCATGCCGACAGGCAGACTAGATTGATCGATCTTCGTTATTGGGGAGGATTTCGATAGGATATGCATTCAAGGTTTAAGGAAACTTACTGCAACAAGGAACTCTTGTCAAGAATCAAGGCCAGCACTCATTCCATTCATTAAATCCTTCCATTCTATAAATACATGCTCGAAGATAAGAAAAGAGACAGAGAAGACAGAAATTCTCGCTCACTACCCGGAACACCACCGCAGCTTCCCAAATAACCTACATTACTCACCCATCCACACGGTTCACAAATAATTATACCACAGTTCCCTTTGCAACTCCTCCAACCGCCGCAATCCACCAGACACCCGGCCCAACGCATCAGTCAAGAAAGCACTGCGCGTGGCGCCGGGCCGGGGCGCCGACCACGTCGTCCACCCGCGCGACATGGCGCGCTGGAACGTCGTCTCGGCATGGGTATCCGGGCCCAGGGGGGCGAGCTCGACGACCGCCTCTGGGCCCAGGGTCATAAGGTAGTAGATCCACTCGTGCAGCATGATCATGCCCTGATTCCTTTTGTCGGTGTCGGGGGGAGGAGGAGACGAGGCGCTGCCGTCGTCGTCGTCGTCGTCGTCATCGCCGCCACCGCGATTAGCAGTGGCATTGGCGAAGACGCCGAAGCGGCGGGCGCGCTCGGTCTCGCCGCGCAGGAAGCCGAACATGTATTTGAGACAGGTCCAGACCTCGTCCATGTCTTGCATATCGGTCACGGAGAGGCCGCCGGGGTTGTTGCCCTCGCCGAAGCCCGGGGGCGGGTCGAACAAGATGCTGCAGACGTCGTTGGGGTCCGGGCAGGGCTGGAACGGGGAGCGCACCTCGCCGCGCAGCCAGCTGACTTGGCCGTCGATATCGTGGTCGCGCCCCGTCTGCATGCCGAAAAGGTGGCAGAAGGTCCAGACGCGCCAGATCGCGTTGTCAATCTTGCGGGCCGCGGGGCTGGCCGGTCGCGAGAGCGCCGTGTACGAGGCCGAGCGCATCACGGCCCGGCAGTGGGTCATCATCAGGCCCTTCAGCGTGGCGAGCGTGCGATGGTCGCGGGTGTAGTGGCGGTAGTAGATCTCGGCCGTGAAGGGTTCTTCCTCCGACGAGGATTCCTGCGAGTTGATGTCGCTCATCTGGCGGTGTTCCCAGGCGGCGGGTGATTTGAGGCGGATGGTGTTCTGCATCAGGGGCAGTTCGTGGCGCTTGAAGACTTGGTATGTGGCGCGGTTGACCTGGGCGAAGGCGAAGAGGTCGTCCAGATCGTCGATTTGGAGGAGAATTTGGAGGGTCATGTCTTCTAGGCCGGGCTTGGTCAGACTCCAGCGCGTGGGCGAGAATGCTTTGCTTAGGTCGTCCTCAATCTCCGCCATCATTTTTGTGTAGCGTGGGTAGATGCTGGAGGTGTCCGATTCATTGTCGCCGAGGTTGAAGACGTGTATTGATGGACTGTCGTCCTGCATCGTCGCGTCGTCTTCGTAGCCAACATATTCCCAAGCGTCTTCGTCCTCGGCGCCGGTCTTGCGGGTCTTGGAGGTAGGAGCGGGAGAAGCAGGGGTAGGGGGAGGATGAGTCTGAGAGAAAGGTAATGGAGGTAGAGGACTGGTAGGCGCTGGCGACGGAGGGGGAACAGAATGGGAGTAAGTATGGGTATTCAAGTGAGGAGGTGGGGGGAGAGCTGGTGAGCTGGGAGGAGGATAAGAATGGGAATGGCTGTGAACATTGGGGCGGGGAGAACCAGGAAGGAAAGAAGGACTGAGCTGAAGAGGTGCAGGAGATGCACAGCGACTTGGTGGTGCTGGTGGAGCAACGTCCAAGCCGAGAAGAGGGTCATTTTGGACTCTCAAGAAGAGGGACCGGAGAAACTTTTGGTTCGCTTCGGCTTGAAGAATCGCGTCCATTGAATAGCCATCCTCTAATAAGCTGGCAAGCACATTCTTCATGCGGCTGACCGCATCTTGATATCGCTCTTCGTCCTGTGTCTCGACATTGTGCATCCAATCATGTTGCTGATCTCCTGACTCTTGTGACTGTTGCGGATTCGTGGACATACGAACGATGATCGATGCTCGCCGATCATTTTGAGACTTGGGTTTCTTCAAATTTGAAGATGAAGCTTTAGTGGTGAGGACGCGTCGCACTCCCGCTTTGAGCGTTCGCCATATAGGCTTCTCCTCACCGTCGTCTTTAGCGGATAGCCTTTGCTCCGACGACTTCTTCGATGGTTGCTTTGAGGGCCCGTCAGGCCGATTTTGAGCTGGTGCGCTAGTATTTGGGTTGTACGGAGGAAAGAGGCCCTTCTCAGAATGGTATGGAGGGAAAAGGCCCGTTGATGGTGGGGGGTCAACCTGCTGTGGCCATGAAGGTTCGTTCGGAAATGCGTTCAACGCCGCAGCAGCGGCCAACGAGAATTCTGGATTCAGTGAACGTTGATCGTTAGGTCGCGGTGTGAAAGACCGAGGAGTCAACGGCTGGGGGGTCATCGGTCGGCCCGTCGAAAGCTGAGGGGTCATGGGCCGAGTGTTCAGTGGCTGGGGAGTCATAGGTCGCATGTTCAAGGGTTGTGGAGTCATCGGCCTGGCCAGTGACGGCTGAGGGGTCATGGGGCGTGGGTTCAGGGGCTGAGGGGTCACTGATCGAGGAGTAAGAGGTCGAGGTGCCATTGGTGGCTGTGGCGTTGTCGATCGCGATGGCATGGGGCCTGGAGTCATAGGTCGAGGTGTCTGAGGTCGCGAGCTGTAGAGCGGCAGAGACTCCCCCACGGGCGAGCCTGACTGGTATGAGGCATGGATATGTTTCTCTTGTGGGTTGGGAACCGGGGGAAGCGGCTTGTTATACTTCCATTCGGTCGTGGAGGATGAGCTCATCGTGGGACTTGCTCGCGAGGTATATGAAGGGCATGGACTGAGCGGTGGTCGATCGTACATGCCGACTTTGGGGATGCTCAGACTCGGCACGGCCAAGCGGTCGGAAGAGTCCCAATTCGTCTCCAATCCTGCCAGAAGAAGCTTGTCGTCAATGTGCTTGCCAGGCATCTTGTTGATGTGGTTGTGTTGGGTTTGGCCTGCCACGTCGTCGATGTGATCTTCGAGTATGTCATTCGGGAGGAAGTATAATGTCGATCGTGATCCGAGACTGTCGGAAGACTTCGAAGCGTAGGATTTACCGTAGGGCGTGTGGCCGAGAGAAATAGGAATCTCGGAGTATTGCGGTGGGTAAGGATCCTGTCTATAGTGAGGCATAGCAGGTAGGGCCATGATGTAGGATCGCCACCCTAAGTTCAGGAGGACCGAAAACAAATGGGCTATATTAAATTGACGGGGACCTGCAGGAGGTGATATACGTCGCCTCCCCCAGACGGGATCCCTCGCCGGAGCCGAACCCACCCATTACACACTCCTTGTACTCAGCTTTCTCCCATCTCAGCACAGATCTTGGGTCCGTAATGTTTGAACGGGGGCTACAAGTTCCACGGGAGCCATAGAGAGCTGGTAAGCCAAGTAACCTAGTACCTGGCTATGACTCGGCGGGAGCGATCAACTGACCCGCTGGGACACAGGCGCCGCGAATAGCGAACAAATTGCATCATGATAGGCAGCTTGTCCTTGTTGAACGGGTGCCCGCTATGAACGAATGTGGCAGTGAGCTCGAGAAAGGGAGGATCGCATTCTCTGAGCTCTCATCGCGGGCCTGAAGAGACTAGTTCGTCATGGCGTTGGGGCCAAATCGTGTCAGAGTCTGTAAGGCATACAACACGACTGGAAGCAATTAGCAAAAGAGCATGTTACATGGAGACCGTCATACCTTAGACTTGATATTTGAGCTCATATCCATAGCCCAGTTGGTGATGGAAGACAAGTGTCTGGCGGTAAGAAACAGAGGGGAGGTTGTCAGAAAGAGGAAGGGGAGAAGCGAGTGGAGTTGTTGTTGTTGCGCATCTCCGCCTGTCCTCCCGACACAATCCTTCAAACAACACAACTTTCGCCCCCAGGCCTCGTTCGCACCCAATTTGCCATCCAACTGATTTCAAAGAATCCAACAGTACTTGCGAAGTCTCTACGAGCATCGCCATGTGGCAGTGTCTGACATCAGATACTCCTTCCAGAAGAACTCGCGGGGGCTAAAAATCCCCCTAATCCGCTCGTCTTGACTGCGGTCGATAGGCCTTATGAGTTTTCAGCTTAATCAAACCGTCTCATGCATCTTGCGCTGAAGAGTTCGGGTCATTTAACGGAGAGCTTATCATGACATACCGATTTTACCTCACCAGGTGGAACAGAGATACCGTTGTCGTGAGGCGACACAGCCTTTACAGCCTCTGAAAATGCAACTCTCGCATACAATTCAACATGACTGGGACTATGGAAGAGAGTACAAGAGTACAGCCCTTCACCCAAACGCTCCAGGAGCTAATCAGGCTGGTGGTCAGCTCTACAGGGTCTCCAGGCAGAACAGCAGAGTGGATATCTACCACATGGTAGCGACGAGGGAACCCCACCTACAGAATCTTCCCATCTCGTGGCACAAACATGATCGGCGGTCGAATGATCTCTGCTTCGAGGCTTTGTCGAATGGCCCCCAACGGACGATCACGAACAGTGTTATTGCGCCTTGCACCACGCCGACGTGTCTTAGGAAGCCCTGAAGCCTGGGCTCGTTGCATGAATGGTCTACCTGAAACACGGGCGCAGCAAATGCGGCTCATGGGGGACTCAGACGTAACCTCACACAGAGGCCCCTCTGCCAGACCGGTCTGAATCTCAATCTGTCAGTGTACACGTGGAGAGACCATTTTGGGCCAATGGTGAGATTCATAGCGAACTACCATGGACCAAACCTTGAAGCAATAAATATGTTGTCTACATGCTCAAGCTATGTATATGATCCATGGCCTCTCGCGGCTGTCTATCTTTGAGACTTTATTGTGCTCGTTACCCATGCTTGTGCAACAAGCACGGCTGCCTTGATGTTGGCCTGTCTTGTCTGGTCTGTTTGTCTGACTAGGGCACAGTCCATCTCCTGTCTGGCCAAATGCAATTCATTGTTGGTATGCAGCATTTCGCGAAGATTAAAAATTGAGGCAGCCACCAACTATAGCCAAACAGGGTGCTGCTATTGGACACATCGTCTAGCAGCGAAGATGAGGTGGATACTATGTGGTGACTGCAATCCAGCTTTCTTATGTCTTGAGATGAAGGCACTCTGCATCTGTGATGTATACATATGCTCACACAGCGGGGAACTATACCATGATCAGTGGATGGCGTACTTCAAGGGCGAAGTCCTGGGGAAATGGTCGCATGAGAACCTGCCAGGAAATCATATACACATTGGTCAACCATAGAGTGAGAGAGGCTTCTCATGAAAGCAGTGAGATTTACTTGCTAGTCGAGGAAGCTCATGCGTCAGTTGGTTTCAATTGCCAATCATGACCTTGTAGTATTATGCTGAATTTCCGATGGCTTTTCACTCTATAGGCACGGTGTAAGCATTCATGCCATGACTTTGAGATGGACAGCTTTCGATCATGCAGCTCTACCTACTCCTTAATAGCTGAAGGCTCAGGCTTACATAGTAGAAGTCTAAGTTGGGTCAATTGGGTCAGATGACCTGATATCCATGATTGGAGGTTCTACCTGTCGCACTGACTCATCCGCCTCCGCATTCAATGAATCCACAAGCTGGCTTCCACCTCTCCTGGCCCTTTCCCCGTTCGAAATATTAGCGGCGCAATGAATCACAAATGGGCAGAATTCTTCTTGCAAGGCTAAGGCTGTGAGCCGCACGTGATTCCCTTAAGCAATCAACCTGTTCGCGATCCGCTGGACTTCAAGGAATTCCAATGCCACGATGCCTGGGAAATAGGACGACGATTGCGTGATGATATGTCGGGACTGCATAGCATCATGGTGCTGGAATTAGAGGTGAACGGTGTAGCCAACCTGGTGGTGAAAACAGTATGTTGACACAATAAACAACACACAAAAATTGACTCATTAGGAGATAGTTCTTTGGAAAAGAGTATTTCGAGTCGATCAATCAACTAGACCCTTTTCTAGACGAGAGTCGAGCTTACGAGCACATTCTACTCAAGCGCTCGTCCTCCAAATCAACCTATTTCCCAACATATCATGGTGTGATACTAAACTTGACACGGGAGAAATACCCTAGAAGCTATGTGCTGCGCCCTCGGGCCATAGTGCTCGAAAGAGTCGAACCCAACATACGCTGCCGACGTATACTTGGAACGCCTCCGACTCGAGAATATCATCTATTCGATGATTTCGTAGCGAGAATCGGGGATCTGCCTCTCAGTGACTTCGAGAAGGAATGGTACATTTCGTTAGCCATTGACCGGCTAGAACGTCTTGCAGCGTTGCATGGCATCGGAATTCTTCGCCGTGACATCGGTGACGAGCATTTTCGTCTTCCCAATGATTTCTACGATACCGTTCTCTATGATTTCTCTCACCCATACATCATCAATACGCCATGGCCATACGTCAAACGCCCCAAACCCCTGCTAGCACTGATTCAACTCGAACAAGTCCAAGTTTTAAGCACTGTGCTCAGCCGGTTGGTCTCGCTTAGATCCTGGAGTCAACATGTGCTAACAGCTAGATAATGCGAGGAGGTCAGATATACGCACATACCATGGCTGCGACACTGAATCTAGATCCAACAACGGTTCTGGACTTCTGCTCCCAAGAGCTCGAAGATGCAAGGAGCAGTCTAAAGCCAATTTCTCTCAAGATCAGCCATCGACAAGATAGTGAGTTTTCCACTTTACCCCAATCAATGCTCGACTGTTATAACATATTACAGCGTTCGCGCACCCATCTTTAGCATCAGTTCGTCCCTTCTTGGAATCCATCCGCCCTGACGGTCCTCTAACATGGCATCTCACCAGGGCTCGACTTCTTCAAGATTATGAATCAACCTGGTTTCATTATACACTCGGGACAGACAAGCAATCAAAACTGATATCAGGCGTTGAGTGTTTCAAATTGGAGTCAGAAGACATGTCGAACGAAAAGTCCTATTTGCTTCTCTTGATTCCTAGATCTTGGGACTCGAAGGATCATAGGACAAGGCCTTACCTGTGCTGGGCTTATTTTGAATAAGGGATTGGGTCCTATGATCTCAAAGAAGGAATTCGAGCAGCTTGACAGCTAGCCGTATAGTTAGAACACAGGCCACCAGGTCCGTGCCGTACGCTGTGGCGGGGCGACCAAAACCTGAGATCTTGGAAAGAAGCAGACTATTCAGGTTCACCAGTAATAAGAGGCACTAGTCAAACAGGTCAATGCCCTCTCACGGTCCAATTCGCGCAGATAAGACTTCCCACCAAGCTCAACCACAAAGTGATACCACCAGAAGTCCTCCGGCGTGAATCTTAATACTGTTGTGAACTCCCGATACTCAGAATACCAGCCTGCGGATTCCCAGTTCAGAAAACCTGTAATGCGTTTCTCACGGACCATAATATTATAGTGTTTGAAATCTCCGTGAGTAAAGACGATACGATGGGATAGCTTATCCATCTTCCTAGCGCGATTTATCGCCTTTTGATACGCCTCCTCCCGACCAGACAGATTTTTTTAAATAGTCATTGAGTTCTTGCTCCGATCTAAACGGGCCAGCAAGATAATTGGTAGGTATTCGAATACTTTAATTCGGCGTTCCTACAATCAAGCAGATCCTGCTTTCGCCCCACGGATTCTCCCGGTTCCTAATATACGTTAGAAACCGATCCAGCTGTCGGAACACCATCTCTTTCTCTTCGTCGCTAAGCGTATCGTAAACCTGACCTAATTCCTTGCCAGGAAACCGCGCCATTAGGATTGAAACCGGCGCATGCGGGCTATCAGCATGCTTGCCATAGCAGATAACTCTGGGTACAGGGAGACCGGCTTGCCTGGCGACTTGTATGGCCAGAACTTCCTCGAGCCGGGTACCATCCGACCACTTCAGAACAAGGCCGAACGGGAGCTGGGCGATTTGATTATCGTAGGTGATCCCGACCCAGCTGCAATAGGATCGGGAGAACCGTCGGAGGTGTGTGTGGATGATGCCCCAGAATTGATGGACACGTGGGTGAGCTACGCGAGGGATGGGTGGAAGTTGGTCGCTTAGCACTGTTGTTTGCTCTATGATGATCTGACCAGGAGAAATCGGGGAGGAGCAGGCGGGGGAACTAGCCACTGCAGCATTTTGGCTGTATATTGCAGCGCAGCGATACCGTCAATGAGATGTTTGGAGAATATTTATCCAATATCTAAGACAATCAGAGACTAATTGTCGACCTGAGTCAATTGTTGGTGTCTATGTCCTGTCCAGACAATGTCAACTTGTCACGTCGTGTGAGGCGGTGTGACATATAGTTACAGCTTGCGAGTTACCAGTCAGCAGGGTGTTGTTCAAGCCGACCAATGCGGGTGTCCGGACCCTTGCGACGTGATGACTACCGGTTCTCTGTACAAGGCTGATATCAGCCATCGATGGCCGGCGTATCTGTTTGGGATATGAATAACTGCTGAGTTCAGGCTACGTGAGGCTATCCTAGCGAGGAAATATAGTAACAATCTGGCTGTGGCGGGCGGTGAGCAGCCTGGCTACTTTCAGGGCCGCAGGGCCGCCGGCGATATCTGTTTATGCCTAAGGTAAGTTAGCGATCGCGGAAAAGGTAAATTAACTTCTTTTACCAAATCTACATATACAAGCTGCCTCTGGTTTACCTCGAATCGATCGATCATCAGACCAGTTGACATCAATCCGCTGTCTAGCGCGATCGCAGAAACAGCGTTCATCGAGGATCAACTGGCGATAGAGTAACGCAAGCAATGACACCCATTGACGTCACATCTACGCCAGCCTTGGCAATCGATCACATCTGATAAATACATCCCATCTCCTGCAGCTCCCTCACCTCTCTCCAATTATCTTCATTTCAAGAACATCAGAATCGCTCAATTAAATACACCCGTATCACAGATCACAGATCACACATAACCCACAATCACAACTACCACCAAAATGTCCAGCACCATCAACACCGCGGCCGGCAACAAGCCCCTCGACCCCTACACAGCCAAGTCGCACGAGGACCCCCCTCTACCCCAGAAGGTCGAGGACCTGGTCACGTTCATCAGTGACTCCAAGTTCGGCATGCTCACCACCAAGTCCTCGGACGATGAGCTCCTCACATCCCGCTGCATGGCGCTCGCCGGAAAGGTACGCCTCTCGAACAACATCCTCCCCCAAGTCCTTCTATCAAAGCTAAATTGATCTTGTGAATGCACAGGAGCACGGCGGCATCGACCTGATCTTCCACACGAACCTCTTCTCGCACAAGACGATGGACCTGACCACCCACCCCAAGGAGGTCAACATGTCCTTCCTGGACCCGCTCAGCGGCTCCTGGGCCTCCATCTCCGGCACCGCCACCATCATCTCCGACCGCGACACCGTCAAGAAGTACTATTCGCCCGCCCTGCAGGCGTGGCTGGGCGATTTGGGCGATGGCGTGCACGACGGTGGCCCCGAGGACCCCCGCATCGGCGTCATCAAGCTCGAGGCGGTGACCGCCCACTATGCGCTGGCTCGCAAGGGGATGCTCACCCGCGCCGTCGAGACCGTCAAGAGCGTGGCCACCGGGAACGTGCCGGCTATCAACAGCATCCGCGAGCTGTCGCGGGCGGAGCTGGAGGAGTGTAAGTTCTTTTGCCTTTTCTCTCTCTTGTAATGATTGTAAGATGGATATTAATGCGGAATGATAGGGCGCCGCACGCACGCGAACGAATAAATTGTCGCTGTTCGTTGTTTGCTGAACCCACGCGAGCCGTGGACGAGTGAATTACCCTATGATTTCATGACCCTGATGACACATGTGCTAAGTACCATGTCACTAGTATCATATTTGTATTGATTTGCAAATGAAAGACACATTATCCAATGGAAGGGAATCTAGACATGCGGGGCGTAAGCAAGTAGGGCTTGGTGCAGAACAAAAGTAAACCAATCATTGCAATGCTATCGCACCATATTATATTAAAGAGGCCGGTCCTAAAATTAGGAGTGCGTGTTGAGGGTATCACTAGCATGGACTCCAATAGACGCCGTATAACAAAATAACCCCATTAGATCTATTCTCGCCGTTAGCGTTGCGCATAGAAGAAAGGTCCAGACACGACTCACCAGTCGTAATGGCATCCGGGCCGGCACACGACCGTTATGTAGCAGCATAGCGATGTTCTTATTGGGTGTCGCCTGCAGTTTGCGATAGGCTTCGCGGATATGCTTGGGTTCGACAGGGGTGCGGCCCTCCTCAGGGGGGTCGAAGAGTCCGGTCTCGCGCTTACGTTTCTTGGAATCCTCGCCATTATCTGCGCCGCCACGACGGTTCTTCTCTCGATCCTCCCGTTCCTTGACCTTGAGGGCCTCCTCGGTCAGCGTTTGCACTATCTCGAAGGTCAGGAACCCGAGGATGTCGACAATATCATCGTTAGGTTTCGACTCGGTGACGATTCCGAACCCGGCCCACTCCCGGAAACGCTTGCTCTTGCGGTAGGTGAAGGACGCCTGACGGCATTCCGACCAGAACACATATTCTTCCCTCGTCATGTGCTTGGTGCGTTCGTCGGCAGCGGCAAGGCGCTGCAGGGTGGCGTAGTTCTGCTCCTCCTCTTCCTCGTCTTCTTCATCCTCGCGCTCGGGAACCTGCACGGAATAGAAGCTGTTCACATCCCAAGCGAGACCGACGCGGGCACGCTTGTTCTTCGGCTTCGACGCAACGTCTTGAGGTCCAGCCACGACGCCTCCGGCGATGGGGTCGTCGGCGGCGGCGAAATCGGCCGCATCGGCACCGCCCTTGTCGTCCGAGTCTTTGACGTTCTTACGAACATCCTTCCATGAGAGGAAGGTCTTCAGGCGAGACACCTTGGCCTTATCGTGACGGATCAAGAAGATCAGATCATCGGTGGAGATAGAGCGCACACCGCGGCGGGTTGCCAGAGCGGTGCTTCGAGCAAGCTAGTAGGGATGTTAGCGTCATTCACCGGTTGAAGAAAGCGACGAAGGTATCGTACAATTTCGACAACTTGCTGACGAACAATCTCCTCGATGAGGGTAGTCGTTTCAACCGAGGGTTCGGCAGTTTCTCCAGAGACGAACATCATCTGGCGCCAAGTGTTAGTCAAGCGCTCCTTAAACTGTTCTTCGCTTTCGACGTCCACATCCTCTGGTTCATACTCTGAGCCAGGTGGGAATCCTCCTGAGAGAGCAAACATGCTGAGGGCTGAAGTATTGATAAGTCCGAAAGAGGGAATAGGGTACAGATAGGGATGGGAGGGATGTGTGAAGCGATACTGTCAGCAACAGTGACATTGACTTGAGAGCAATCATGATGAACAGATAAGTCTAAGCAGAGGGGAGCCAGGAAAGATAGAGTGAATGAGCTCGGCATAATTTTGGGAAACGGATGCAAGTGAATATAGTAGTTCGGACCAACAACAGTTGGTATGGGCTGCTGTGAATGAACTTGATAGCAACCAAATTATGTGCAACCTAGATCCAAGAGGGGCCACAGTCTGGGACAAGCAATACAAGCATAAAGTGCAGATGTGCAGTACGGAGATGTGCAGTTCAATCAATTGAGCAAATCCAATGGTGCCCACTGACACGCTTACCTGCTGGATCTCTTGACGATACTTCGGTGTCCGATCTGTAGACATCTTCGCGAAGAATGAAGAGCAGGTCGCCTGGTCATCCCAGACAGACTGCACTGAGAATATACACAGACAGATGATCTCAGACTCCAACAATCTAGAGGCTGATGAATAGGGCGTTCCCCAATAGGCAGAGCCCCAGGATATCCCGCGGAGGAGGCAGGCACGTCACCTGACACGCGCGTGCTTCCCCGATTCGCATACTCGGATCATCAGTTCCTCCGCCTTCCACCGCATTTGGCGGGGTGATAAGGGAAACTTTTACGCCGCAATCAACATTCCCTGAAGAGCAAATTCACTCCATTGTACGATCAAAATGCTTTATCTAGTGGGACTCGGCCTTGCCGATGAGACTGACATCACCGTCAGAGGTCTGGAGGTGGTCAAGAAGGCCGAGCGCGTTTACCTCGAAGCGTACACAAGCATCCTCCTCGTGGAGAAGGAGAAACTAGTGGGTGCCCCTGCGCGATCATACTTCTAGCACATTGGTGCAGAGGTGGCTGACTGGGAGTGACTCATTCCAGTAGGAAGCTTTCTATGGACGTCCTGTTATTGTAGCGGACCGCGAATTGGTCGAGACTGGCAGCGATGACATCCTCGCTGAAGCCGACAAAGTCGATGTCGCTTTCCTGGTGGTGGGCGACCCCTTCGGGTATGTGTTTTCACCTTCATATGTTGTTTGATGGGGAGATATGCATGGGGATTGACAGCCAGCTACTAGTGCTACGACACACACCGATCTAGTCCTACGCGCCCGTGAATTGGGCATCGAGTCCAAGGTCATCCCTAACGCATCGATCATGTCCGGCATTGGCTGCACCGGCCTGCAGCTGTACAACTTCGGACAGACCGTCAGCATGGTCTTCTTCACTGAGACCTGGAAGCCTTCGTCCTACTACGACCGTGTCAAGGAGAATGCTGGGCTGGGTCTTCACACACTTGTCCTGCTAGACATCAAGGTCAAGGAGCAATCCCTCGAAAACATGGCCCGTGGACGTCTGATCTACGAGCCTCCGCGCTTCATGACGGTTGCGCAGTGCGCCAGTCAGATGCTCGAGACGGAGGAGGAGCGCCAGGAGGAAGTCTGGACTGCGGATAGTCTGGCTGTTGGTGCCGCTCGTGTTGGAGCCCCTGACCAGAAGTTGGTTGCCGGTACTCTCAAGGAGCTGGCAGAAGTTGACATGGGCCGACCTCTTCACAGTTTGGTCCTGCTTGGCAAGAGGGCACATGATCTGGAGAAGGATTACATCAAACAATTCGCTGTGGACCAGGCGACCTTCGATGCCGCTTGGCAAAAAGGAGGCTACGGTACCATGTGAGGTACTGCTGCCGTGTAACGAATGATGTTGAACGAAATAGACATTTATCCCGCTGAATAAAAACAAGTGAGCCATCCGAACCGAGGTTTCCGAACACACCCAAAGCCAGCTTTGTGATGGAGATCAAGTCGATAGTGGATCGTCAAGCGTAAGATGTTAAGAATCACATCTCCCAGTACAGTCATTAGGCCGCTTTCCGACCAAAAAATCTTGTAAGCCGCTGGGGGAGTCGTACCTGCATGACACAAACACCGTCAGAGGTTATGGCACCCAGCAAAATAACTTTGATGCGAAACGTACCGTTGCTGATGAAGGCGTCGCTGGTGGCGTCTGGTCGCTATCGCATTCTTCGCCATTCCCGTAGGATCCCTCGCCGTCGTCCATACTATCTTCTTCCTCCTCATCTGACAGAGGAAACCATCTCTCGGGATCGCCATTGTAGACAATATACCAA